GTTAGGTGTTGAGGGATGTGAGTTGGAGATTTGATCAGGTAGTTGGGAGTAGAAGATTGAGGAAAGAATGGGGAATTGATAGGGTGAGAGAGAAGAGATAGATGAGAGGGAGAGTAAGAGAGGGTGCTGGATTGGTATAGGAAAAGAATTAAATATAAAATCTAAGAAAAGATTTTTTTAATGTAGACTAAAATCATATGACTAAATTTCAATTATATAAAGGATGGGTCTTTATATGGAATGATATTTTTGATGGTATAGATAGGATTATGGGATAGAGTCCCTGTGAGAAGTAGCGGACAGAGTAGTGGAAGTGACCGCGGACGGGAAGTGGAAGTGGGACAACGATTGGGAGCATCGCTGAATGAATGTGAGAGATGATTTCTGGTTTTGAGGTAGGGAGGTGGGGGGTTGAGGTTTTTCTGGGCTCGGTAGGTGGGGTTTCGGGCGTTCTAGCGCGCTTTATCTGGAGTGAGTGTGATTTGCGTCGGCGGGTACAGAGGGTTTATGATTGAGGTCTGGGGTTTGTGAATTTGTGTGGGAGTCGGGCGGGTAATCTGGGGTGGTATTATGTGTATGATCATTTTTGGGTTTAAGCGTTCTCGGGGCGGTGGAGGTGTGACTTTTCCTTTTTTGAAAGAAACAGATATCGATTTGTGATGAGTTCTTGAGTCATATTGTTATAGGGATTGAGGGGTTCGGGGTCCCTGTGCCTGGGGGATCGGAGGCGTGTGTGATTGGTGGCCGGGAGATTGCTATTTGGGTAGGTGGAGGACAAGGGAGTGCAGATTATGGCGGCGTATGGTAGGGTTTGGAGGCGGTTTTGGGGGTGTGTGAGGCTTGGATGAGATAAAAACATATTATATATCTGATACAAAGTAGATTGTAGTGCACTTCGTTAGTGGTGAGACGGGTGCGGAGCGGGGGGTGTGGGGGAGAGAGAAAAGAGTTATGAGATCATATAGATGGGATATGTGGCTTTAACAAATACTGAAACCGTTTAAGGTAGAACAGCACGTTTTTGACGCTATTTATGTATTAGTATCGAAGATATGTTGGCTTTGAGCTAGGTTGATTGGGTTTGGGGTCCGGTGTTCGGTTGGGGAGGGAGTTATTGGCTTTGTTATGGGGTCTCGCGGTCGGGGGTTGGGGTGGTTGTCGGTGTTTTCGAGCGGTTGGCCATTTGGTGTGATGGGGGGAGAATTATATAAGTGGGGATTAACTCCGGCCTTCGGGGAGTAGGAAGGATGTTAAGAAAGTAGAAGGTTATTAGAGGAGTAGGAAGAATTTTAATTAAAAGAAACACTATATATAACTTTGGAGAAGGAAGTTAAAGATGAGTTTTGTAGTTATGAGTCGATAGAGGCGACTCCTGGGCTGTTACCGAGTCTGTTTCCGGGTAGAGGGGATGGGATGGTGGTCCGCGGCGTGGCTTTGTTTGTGTCTAGGTCGGCTGGTTTGGGGTGTGGGGGGGGGGTTTGGCAGGGGGGCTGGGAGATAGAATTCCTTTATTGTTGTGGAATATTGTTGTTTTGGTAGACTAATGACAGGAAAGTGATTGAAAGGGAGGGGATAATGAATGATATGATTATTAAGGGGTCGCGTCGGTAAAGGTTAGGGGGGGGGGTCGGTGGGGGGAAGTGGTAGTAGCAGTAGACAAGAGGTGGCTGCTGGGAGGCTTGTTCTGTAGTTGTTGCGTTAGTGAGCGGGATGGTCCCGGTTGGTGTAGAAGTGTTTTCTGAGATAGTCGGGGGTACAATGGGGTGGCGGAGAAAGCATGATCGGGTCGGTGGGTTGGGTTGGTCGTGGTTCATATTGGGGGGAGGGGGACTTCGGATGGTGCGGTGTAGAGGGGTTGGGGCGTATGAAGACTTACCTGATGAGGATTCTTAGACGATAGATTATACATGGAAGAGTTATTCGCTATAATTCCGATATTATAGAAACAGGTGACAAAGGTGTGCTTCTGAGCTGACTGTTGGATGACCGCTGAATTTCCGAAGTTTCTATGCATTTGGAATGTAGAAATTCTTAGGAAATGAAACTTGAAGGAGATCAGAAGAGATGGGTGCATTAGCTGACAGCCATTGAGGATTGAAGTAGATTTCTTAGAATTCGTTGGGGTTAAGATTGTTCTGCGCTGAGAACGTGGAAGTGAAGTTTGAGTGATTAGAGATAGTGCATAAGTTTTTTGTATGGATCTCATATTTAAAGAGAAAGTAAATCCGGGGAGTCTGTCGGGGTCGCTTCCTGGGGATGCGGGGGGAAGGGCTGGCGCTGGTAGGGGACGGTGGTTCAAGACTTTATTCCGTCGGTGAGTAAAGAGTTAGGACGAATAGAAGAAGAGAGAAGAAGGTTTTTGATTATTGAGGCCTGTTAAGTTGCCGAAAAGATTCTATAATAGATATTGTGATGAGAGAGAAATGTAGATCGGGCCGGAGATCACTGAGAAATATAGAGTTTCTGTAGGTAGGTTCGGGGTTGGACTTGTCGAATTTCTTTCGGTTTCCCTTTTGGGTGGTTCCGGGTTGGGGGTAGGAGCCGGGTTAAGGTTTGAATGCTGGTGCGCGTTGGGTCGGTGAGGTGGTTACGAGGATTCTTGATAGTAAGTAATTAGTTAAGATATGAGAACCAGAGATATGCAGATATAAGTTAATATGGATATATAAGAATATGAGAAGAAAGGTAAAGAGGAGAAATAGGAGCGAGAATTAGATAGATGTTTACCAATAGACTTAGTGTTTGATTCTGATATTTATTCTGAGTACTTAGTCTTGAGATTGTATAAGGAGTGGACGGGGGGGGGGGAGGGGGAGTTTAGTACCGTTCTAACTTATGCTGTGACAGCGTTGTGAGGAGAGGATTAAGAATATCTTTATTTTAATTGTAGAGAGATGATTAATGTTAGTTAGGGATGAAGTATGTTAAGATTATAAAAGTGCACAATGAGGATAGGAGGAAATTCTTATTGGGAGTCGTAGATTGCTCGCTTGTTGTTAAGTACAGAGAAATTGGTGCTTAATGGATAGAGAATTTGTAATTGTAAAGACTTAGATTAGTAGATATCAATGAATAAGATGCTTTAGTTTTGAAATCTAGATGGAGTTATATGGGAGATATTAGAGTGAGAGAGAGTTGAGAATAACATTAATTGTACTGCAAGAGAAGATTGATGAGCAGATGAGATAGCCGTAAAATAGAGATTAGAGTAGGATCTCCGGGAGAGGAGTAAAATACGATGAGGACATCGTATCTTAAATTAAGGCCGATCACGCCTATGAGTTTTTTTTTGATGTTTTGTGAGGTGTTTCATAGGGGTGGGTGTCTCCCGGGATGTGGATTAGGGTGGTGGGGGAGGATTAAGAGGGTGGGGTGGGTGAGTTGTAGAAAGCATATGATTTATGATTATAGGTCCAGAACTGATCCCTGTTCCTTATTTGTCTCCTTTATGCATTGGGTTCTTGGGGTTACAGGGGCCCTCGGTGATCGCTCGGTGGTCGGAAGCTGGAGGCTGGGTTTCAAGTCTTTTAGCCGAGATTTTTATCTCAGGAGAGGAGTATAGTAAGAGCTTTATGTCGAAGGGGTCTAGGGGAAGTCTTGGAGATTTATAGTAGATTTAGTGGTAAAGTTTCTTAAATACGGACTATGGTGTGTTTAGGTAAAAAGGAGTCTGACATTATGTTATGAGTTCCTAGATTGTGAGTCACATGATAAAGGGAAGAAGTTAGAAGTAGTTAGCATAGATAATTAGAGTAGAGTCTTCCTGAATTTTGGCCGTATAGGAAGCATTTTAGAAGTGTAGGAGCCATTTTTCGGACAATGAGAGAATATTCAGAGTTAGCAGGAATTATGCACACTCATTGAGCATAAGGTATTTGAGCTGAGAGGAGGTAAGTTTAAGTAAATAAAGATTATCTGGAGATGTAGTATGGATATGTTGACGAGAGAAGGTGCGCTTATTAAGATGAGGCTTGATTGAGTACTCGAGAGGCGGGGTTGGTCAGGTGTGGGATACGGGCTAGGGGAGACCGGGTGTTGATGTGGTCGGGGATCGGGGGATTGTTGGGTTGGCCTCGGGGGGTGTGTGCCGGGTTGTCCTGTTCGGCTGAGTGAGAATTGAATTACAATCCCTCAGATGAGTGCTAGCTATGAATGAAAACATTCTGCTACAGAGAGACACGAGAGGGACAGACGTTGAAGATAATGTATGCAAGTTAGAGATTACTTAGCAGTAGGTCTTGTAATATGCCAGGGGGGGGGGTAGGATCTTGGGGCCTATTTGTTCGGTAGGGGTTTCTCTGACATTAAGGCCCCGAGAATAGAACCCTGAATTTTAGAAGTATAGGTGGAAATAGTGCTTCGGATATTTATGTAGTAATTGGGGATTGAAGTATGAGCGAAGCCGAGGTCTATGAGCATTTTGTATTGGAATGTGGTTTGGGTCGAATCGGGTGTTGGGCTGAGACCGATGACCCGAGCGAGGTGTTCAATATCTCGAGGGTAGCGGGTTCCTGGGAGGACGTTAAGCTGCACGGGGGTGTGATAAGAAGATATAGTTAGCCAGAGATACAAAAGAAGAGCACATAGGTAGCGTGCGAAAATTTGAATAAAGTATTTAGAGTATATTAATAAAGAGATTGGAAGGAACAAGTTGATAGTTGTCTTGTGGGGAGCACGGTCGCGCGATGCTTAGGGGGAATGAGAAAGGCTATTCGGAAATTGAGGAGTCATGATTCGAGGAAGGATCATCTAAAATATGGATGAAGGACATAGAGTTTTATGAGATGAACTGAAGAGAAAGTGTTGCTAAAGATTAGAAAAAGATGACTCGAGTGGTAGGGGATCTTAGGGGGGAAGGGGGGGGGCGGTGGGAAGGTGTCCGCCGGGTTGCCGTTGATGAGGTGAGAGTCTCGCGGGTTGGTTCGGGTCGAGGTCTGCTATGTGGATTACTGATAAGATGAGAGTAAATGTTAGAGAAAGTTTTGGAGTAGAGCTAGATACGTTTTCTTGTTACTGGTGTGGGTTGCTCGTTTTGGTGGAATTGAATCGGTACCCGTACTTTGGACTCTGAGTGGAGACATGAGGGGCGTTTTGGTGTGGGCTTTTTCTATTGCAGATTCTAGTGAGAGAGAGAGGTGTGTTGGGGTTCCGGGTCCGCGGGGAGGAGAGGTGGGTTTGGGCTCTGTTGGGGCTGGGTATTTTTCTAGCTTGGGGGGGGGGGTGGCGTTGGCTACGAGTGATTGGGCGTTGGGTTTGGGTTGGCTGGGTGAGGTTGCAGAGGGTAGGATTTAACGCGATTGGGGGGTCGACTCGGCGGTAGTCACTGAGCGTGGGGTGGGAGAAAGTAGATTGATTATACGATAGCGAGTGGTTAGAGTAATAGAGAAATGACATAGCGATATATAAAGTATGTAATTGATCGAAGACGTGTAAAGGTTCGGAAGTGAAGTTTAGTGATGAAGGATTATTTAGTAATTGGCTGAGTTTTGTTAGGTTTATTATAGGAGTGTATTGCGTTTGTTTAGGTTGAGTGTACTAGAGCGTTATACTCTATGGTGTTATGGTGTGGTTCTGGAAAGAGGAGAGAGCATTTGTGTGCAGGTTGTGATTGTTTGTTGTTGGTGGTGTGGTCTACGTCGATGTGGTGTGGTGTAGGGTGTGTACAAGCGTCGGTTATGCGTGTGACGTTGTGTTGGTTCATTATCTGGTCGTGTGTGTGGAGTGGTAATAAACTAGTACGTCATCTGGTCTTAGTTCTACCCAGAGAAGAGTGAATAGAGTAATGAAGTGAAGGAGAAAAGTTTTCCACTTAAAGTCATGAAAGGGAGAGTAGGAATAGTAGTTAAATCGATGGTGAGATGAAGAACGTATGAAATGATCAAAACTATAGCTAGGAAAATGAAGTGGAGTATGAGAGGTTTTCCAGATAGAATTATAAATCGTCAGGACATAGGGCTAAAATTAAAGATGTGATGAGAGCATGTTCTTTCTCCTAGCAATGAGTTGTGAGTGTCACGTTAGTGAGCTTGAAGTCATAAGATGAAAGTTTGACGAAAGTTAAAAGAAAGGAGTACGGAGTAATCTATTAAGGTATGAGGAAAAGGAGTTAAGATAAGCAGAAATTCGGGAGTGAATAGAGTAGTTAAACAGTAACCAGTGTTACGAAGAATAAATTTATCCAAGAGGAGGAAATGAGAGAATGAAGAAATTGAAGATAAGAGGAGAAATCTATATGTGATTTCAAGAAGAGAGTGAAGAACAGTTTTTGTGGCATTTGATAGTATCGAAGAGCAAATTGTAAGAGATGGTGAGAGAATCTAGAAATAACAAAGTGGAAGCACGTAGTAGTAGAGAGTATATGTAGAAAGTAAGGTAAAATTTAGGACCATAGTGTCAGAAGAGAGAGTATGAGCATAGTTGAAACGGATGAAGTAATGACAGATTTTGAAATTAGGAGCGTGGTTTGGGGTTTATGCTCTCTGAGGTGTTGGGTCAGGGGGGTCGTTGTATGATATCGGCCGGGGTGGTTGGGTTTTGGCCTCATGGAATTGGCTGAGGTGGTTGCGGGGAGGCCGGGTGTTATCTGGTGTGTGTTTTTTTTGGCATTAGGAGTATGAGAGTATTGGAGTACAGAACTGTGAATCAAAAAAATTTGATACTTACGCTAGAAAAGGATAGATTTATAAAGAAAGACCCAATATTCAGCGAAAATTTTTTTCGATAGAGGAGCAAAAAGTACCAGATTTGAGAGATTAATAAGTTCTTAGGCATAGATAGAATTACGTTTGAAGTTAAAAATAAAACTTGAGTTTATTTAAGAAGATGACAGTTTACTGAGATCACTTGTAGACTGTAACGATTTATAAGAGGAAAGTCTGTGATCTGAAGTTGATTATGAAATTGTTAAGTATCTGAGGGGAGGGGGTTTTTAGTTTGGTGGTCCATAATGTTCTGTTCGAGTATCTGTTTCTGCGAGGGTTTAGAGGGTATTTAGTTATTTGCTCGGAACATGAGCTAGAGAAGATTGAGTATTTTCTGATAGTAGGAGGTTATATATGGATCTAGAAATTTTCGGTTGCAAGGGTGTTCGGATGAGGGGGGGGCGGGTCGCGCCTTAGTGCTATCATGTCTGAGTATGAAAGTGTAGTTTGGAGCAACTGGATTAAGTGAAGGACAGTAGAGAAATATTATAAAATCAATGATGGAGGAGAAAGAGTTGAGGAAAAGCGTAAAAGCAAGTACAAATAGCTATAAGGCGTTTTGAATCACTTCCCTGAATAGATATAAAAAGTTCAGATTTAGCTTAGTATATCGGATAAAAGGATAACGTAAGGATTTTTAGTAAATTGATCCTAGTGACGAGAGAGATGCGATTATGTAAGTTTAGAAAGGATGATAGAAGTATTTCATTATTATGATCACTAACGTTATTTTTGCAATGCATTTGGTGTCGGTTACTGGTTTCGAGACGATTGAATTTGTGGTTTTTTTATTTATGCTGAGTGAGATAAGAATTATGTATTAATTAGAGAACTGATGACCGATGTTGTACAGATTGACGAGTGGAAAACTTAGACCGAATGAGATCGATTGGGACCGAGTAGGAATCATGTCCTGAGATGAGGAAGAGATGACGACGAAAGGATGCGAGAGAGGCGATTACGAGAGGGAGATTAATAGGACAGACCGAGTGTATAGGATTTGTTCGAATAGGAAGAGATATATAGGAGCGCCTGTAGTGAAATGGAATGAGATTTGCTACAGCGACCTAGATATAGTTGTAAATAGGATGATTATCGAGAAAGGAGGAGCTGGACCAGAAGGCCGAGATGAGGGCTTTTGAAAATCGAAGCGTAGCAAAAGCTGAATACTGAGGCGTAATGAGCGCAAATTTGAATCGTGGCTTGGGCGACGGAGGGATGGGGAACTTGAGGTGGGCGGGGAGAGGGTTTGAGAGGAGAGATTGGTAGGCGGAAGAGTGGATGAAGGTTTCTGAGACGAATATGAGAGATCTCCCCAAGATGTGAGGGCGGTCTCGACTTTGACCAGGTGAGATGAGACTGAGAGGATAGGAGAAGCTTGGATCTTTAGGGGGAGGAAGAGGGAGGGGATAGATGAGATAGGAGATGAGATTCTGCAGAGAGAGAAGGTGAAATTGAGAGAGGGATGTGGATGCTAATCGCTACTTCATTATGGTTTTGGCGTTGGGAGTTGAGCCCTGAAGAGATGTATTCGTGAAGAGTCGGAGTGTCGGGTTTTGGGATGAGGTGACATTATGAAATTTCGTACGTTCCGGTGTGCGAGGATCGAGAGGACGTTGTGAGCTAGGAGATTAGAGACGGTGGGGAGAGAAGAGAGAAGAGGAAGAGAGTAAGAGCAGAGAGAGAGTGAGAGAGAGAGGATAGTTTATGAGACGGTGCGAGGAGCGAGGGATGAAGGATTAAGGGAGAGGGAGGAATATGGAGAGACACTGACATATAGGGTAGTTGCGAGACAAGCTGAGAATGGGATGGACTGTGAAACAAATAGATTGGAGTGACGCAAGAAGAGATCCAGGAGACAAGAAGGAGATAGAGAGAGAATTATAGAGAGAGGTTGAATAGTTATGGAGAGTGGACGGAGTGAGTGTGCGCGCTATTGAGAGAGAGAGAGAGGGAGAGGTGGCATGACTTGGACTAGTCGGACTTTGAGATTGATTGATTTCGGAGAACCCGATAGCACGGAGAGACGGAGTGAGTATCTTGATCGGGAGAGTATGAGAAGAGAGTGTTGACTGAGGTCGGAGAGACAGAGATGTATAATTACTGAGGGTCTAGCTAGTTGAGTAGAATTCGGAGATGGAGAGAGTGGGAGTATGAAGATAGAGCTTGGATCGGATTGGATGATTGAGGCGAATGAGAGACTGTTGAACCCGTAATGGAATGAGAGACTGGTTGAAGAGAAACGAAGGCCTAAGAGGAAGGCGATGTTATTTGAACTGGGAAGAGAGGAATTGAGGTGGGTGGTGGAGACGGATCGCCTTATGGACTGAGAGTGCACGAGATGAGCGGAGAACGACAGTGTTCAGAGGATCCGGAACGAAGAGAACAAGAGCGACGATGAGTGTAAGAGGAGAGAGAGGAGGAGAGATGATGGGTCGCCCGTTGGAGACGAGTCGGACAGTTTGAGTGAGGGAAGGGGGGAAGCTTATGTGATATGAGGATAGGGATGGAGAGAGACTGTATTGGAGGATGTTAGGGTAAGAATCTGAGAGCAGTCCGGAGAGAGGAGTAATCGGGAGATATAGAGTGAGAGGGAACCGACGGTATTGTCGTGTGATGTGTTTGCGCGGGATGGAGGATGATGAGTGGATGTTATTGTTTTATTGATAGGGTGTCCGAAGAGTGATGGGGGATGATTAAGATAGTGTTGTGGTGGGACATGGTAGAGCGTGGAGGGAGGGGGAGGGTTGACGATGGGGGGGAGATTAGAAGAGTGATAAAGGGAGTGAATGTTGGGTGCACAGGGGGGAGAGGAGTGTGAAGATGTTGTGAGTGAGAAGGAAGACCGAGGAGAGAGTGAGGAGAGGAGTCGGGACGATCGAGTGATATTGTTCCTAAGTTGTTAGTGATAGTCTGTAAGGAGGTGACGACGATTCAGGAGGCCGAGGAGGCGGGCAGAATGGAGGGTCGATGAGACCTGGTAAATTGAGAGAGGAAGCTTTGAGTGGAAATGATGGGTGAGAGGACACAGTATGGATTAGAGTTTGGCCATATAGTTGGGGACTAGGTGATTGGCCTTGCTGAGTTTCGCCTTGGTTATTTTGAGTGAAAGGGTGGAGGATCTGGTCTTTTCTTGGAGTGATGCAGTCACTAGTTTGCGCCACTTTTTTTGTTGTGGATATCGCGTATGGCGTGGCGTCGAGGGTGGGTGGGGGTGTGGGTGTGAGTGTTGGTGGTGTGAGGTGGGTAGTGGATAGCTGTGGAGGATTCAGTGGAGTTTCTGGTGTCGATGGGCTCAT